GGGATTTCGGCACCTATAATTCCTAAAAGGAAAGCTTCAGGTTGTTGTTTTTTTAGCCAAGGTTATTTGAAACATATATTTCAAGTCATTATATATCATAAGTAAAGTAAAGGGACCCCTGAACATTAGGTCCAATCGTGGCCGACTCTGGGGTTGCGGCGCTCATCTCGCTTTATTGGCTGAGGGAGCCGGCATACAGCTTCCGGGTCATGTGGCCAGCAGGACTAAGCCGCTTCTGGCAAACCAGAGCAGCGCACGGAAACGCCATTTACTTTCCCGCTGGAGCAGTACCTATTTATCTACTTGCACTTTGACATGCTTTCGAACTGCTAGGTTGGCAGGAGCAGGAACCGAGCAACGGGAGCTCACCCCGTTGCGGGGATTCGAACCGCCGACCTTCTGATCAGCAAGTCCTAGGCTCTGTGGTTTAACCCACAGCGCCACCCGTGTCCCGTTATATATGATATAATAGCTCAAATAGCTGAACTCTGCCCCCAGTTACACAGCATCTCTCAGCTCAACCTTTCTGCCTTCCTTTTTGCACTCAGGTGTTTGTGCATGGCGATGAACTCGACACCTTCTACCGAGAGATCGATGCCGATATCCTGCCAGCAGATTTTGGGGGTAATCTGCCCAAATACGACGGCAAAGTCACCGCGGAGCTGCTTTTTGGGACCCGACCTGATGCTGAAGACACAGCTCTTTAAATAGCAGCATCTTGGCATAGAAGATAGGGCGCAGAGTTGTCCCCCAGCCATCCTGTTAAACGTAGCATTGGTTGAAAGATCTGTCGTGGCCATAAAATCTGGGTGTACATTGCTTTGCCACTCTCTCTCATTCTTTGTCACCAGATGGCAGTAGAGCAATGAAAAGTCCCCTGCCATTTCTCTCAAGAATTGTCCTTTTTCCTTTTATTACCTCACCCCACCCAGGAAAAACAAGCAAGTGGAATGAAAGAGAGGGGGAAGGAAGGAGAAAGAGAGAGAGATGGTCTGTGGTGGGGACATTCTAGATGAGGCAGTACAAGCTTTGTTGACCAAGCACTCAGGTAGTCAAGTAGTTGAGATGTGCCTTCATAGATTTACTGGCTTGCCCTATAATGGTGGGGAGGAAGTGTGCACCCACATATAGCTATGTATTTTAGAGCTCAGATGTCACTGGATTTGGGGGGCAAGTGGCTAAGAGGAAACAGACAAAGCTGTCACAAAGGCAGTGCAAATGGCACAGCCACAGTCCATTACTGCAGCAGCACACAAGCCAAGGACTGTTTTCAATGCAGAATAAAAAAAACCAACAGCAGCAAGGGTGTTTTTCTTCATTTGTGAGTCACAAAAAGCAACATTTGTTGAGTTTCTCTGTGCTTTGGAGAAACCAAAATTCTCTGAGAAACCCGGTTGTGTGGCCTGTTAGAATTACTTACGGCAGAATTTTTTGCAGAATATTTTCAGTAAATTTGTGTTATTTTACATGCTTTGTGTTCCTAGCAACCATGCCATGACCAATACATGGCATTAAGGTCCCATACTCCAACCACTAGAAATCCTAATGTGCAATTACTCCGGCTTCAAAGATTTCAGAAGGCATTGATCAAAATCTTCAAGTGTATGCTCCTAAAAAAGCTGTTGTTTTAAGGAATTAAAAGCTTAAAATTCTTAGGAAGCTGGATTCTGTGGGTGATCCCACATTCCGACAGTTTTCTGCACTTCCTCGAATCACAGCACACACACACACACACACACACACACAGAGAGAGAGAGAGAGAGAGAGAGAGAGAGAGAGAGAGAGAGAGAGAGAGATCCCTCTCTATCACTCCTGGGCAAAAGGTGAAAGGGGGGAAATGGCAGCCACTGGGAGAGGAGACATGCCTTCAACATATGTCTTCAACATTTTGAAAGCAACTTTAGCAAAAGACCCAGAAATAGCTTATTGGAAATTGTATCAATGAATGTGCTTTGAGGTTTGTGGAGACAATGAAGTGGCTTCACCATCAGAAAACGCTCCAGGCCAGTGTGGTGTAGTGGTTAAGAGCGATAGACTCGTAATCTGGTGAACTGGGTTTGCATCTGGGCTCCTCCACATGCAGCTGCTGGGTGACCTTGGGCCAGTCACACTTCTTTGATGTCTCTCAGCCCCACTCACTTCACAGAGTGTTTGTTGTGGGGGAGGAAGGGAAAGGAGATTGTTAGCTGCTTTGAGACTCCTTAGGGTAGTGATAAAGCGGGATATCAAATACAAACTCTTCTTCTTCTTCCTCCTAGAAAAGACATCCACAAAGTTATCCCCCCCCCCCCCGCAATCACGAGTTTGATTTACTTTAGATATGGAGGTCCAGAGGCTTGAGGGCCAAAATACAACCTTTCAGGCCTCTGTATCTGGCTCTTAAGACTCTCACCAGCCACAGCCCTCAACAGCCCTGCTTTGCATCTTCCCTGAGGGTTTTTGCCTGGCTGGAACATATCCTTGAACTCTGAAAATGCTTCTTGCTTGCCTGGATGAGGCCAAAGGGGAATGTGTTTAGAAACTAGTCTATGGTATAAAAGACATTCATTCATTGCTTTGCCCATTTTTGCCTCTGGCCCTGACCACCAATGGCATGTGGGCCCCAGAAGGTTGCCCAGAAGAAAATGTAATCCTCAGGTTGGAAAAAAGTTTCCCCATCTTGTTTTACTTCTTCATTTCCATAGTCTTTGTTGGTCCTCCATGCTGGTTTCCAAGGCCCCAGACAGAGGCGCTTTCTTGCACCCAAGTCTGGGGGGGTTGGCGCACATCGTACGCATGTCACAGGCGCCCAGCAACAAATCTGTGGCAAGGTTTACTGTTGCCTCAGCCAGATTTTTCATTTTTACTGCACACTGACCCGCTGTATTCTCTGAATACTAAATTTCAGATGAGGGTATGTAGTGATATGATCAGTTGACCAATTTCATTCATTCTTGCTTCATACATACTCACCTTTTTGCTCATTAAGGCAAGAGGCACCAGCAGTGCTGGAAAGCAGACATGCTTACCCAAAGAGAAGTAGGTTCTCTTCCTTGTTCTATGAAATTAGATCTACAGCATTCCCCACCTCTCTCGTCTTCCTCTTCCTAGGGATAAATACCAGGACTGTTTGATTTGTAAAGCAAACCAGCAGGGGTCCCTCTGAAACAGAAAAAGCTCCGAAGAAGCCTACAAGAGGTGCATTCATTAGACCACTGGCTCCCACTCAAGCCAAACAGGATATCTACTCTGATGCTGCAGAGAAGACAGGGGTCTTTCAGAGTGGAGTGGAAGCTGGTTGAGCTACCGACTTCAGCATCACAATCTCACCCTACCCAGAGGCATTAATATGACTTAGGTGGAGCAAGGGATGTGGATCCCTCTGCCACTCTTTCTGATGAATTCACCCATGTTAAGTCAGGTTAAGGTTTCCCAAAGAAATAAAAGAAGCACCCATCACTTCACCACCCTTAAAACTAGTATATGGAATAAGCATCTCCCCCTGGATCACAAAAACCAGCAAGTTATAGAAAGGAGTTCCAGCTGCACCACTACCTTTGACTTGATGTTTTCCCAAATGCGGGGAATTTAGAGTAAGCAATGCAGACCTGCAGTCTGCTGTGACAGAGCCCACCAAGAGCAGCACATGATTTTGTGGGTCATATACAGCTTGATTCCTAGAATTTCTGGGGGCTTAAGTAGGTTGCAGTACAAAAAGCCAGTTTGTTGTGTGTTGTTGACTAGAAGCTATCAGCTCCAAATTTGGATGGTTATTTCAAATCAATTTGTGAACTGCATCATTGTCCATCTCTGCAATGCTGCTACTTCCTCCCCCAGGTCTCTTTCTCTATGCCTATTTTCTCTTAAATAAGTAGGTTAATATTAAATCTGGATATAAGCATGTTAGCAGTACAGTTGACTCAGTTCAAAGATTAACTGTAGGGGTAGCAATGCTTCCACTAGATACATTGTGAGTTAAGAGGCTTTTCCATGTAAATGAAGAATCAATGTGATTATTTCTCAAAATATGTATACTTACCTATCTGCTGTGCCGTGCACAGACATTTTCATTTTTGTTAGATGGAAACAAACCATTCTAGTCTGCCCAATGACTCCCAGATTTTTCTCTTTTGCTGTGCTTTGGCCAGCTCAATCCTCACAAAAACCAAGTGGCAAAAGAAAGGAAAATGCTAATTACTGACACATAGCAGTCATTTTTTTTTTTGCTGCTGGTTCTGCAAGGGTTGGGGCTAGCCAAGGCACAGAAAAGCAGAAATGAGCACCTGTGGAAAGAAGACTTGTCTGGTGCACGGGTTCCTAAATTCTCACACCCAACCTCACAAATGTTATGGAAGCTGCTTGTAGAAAGAGCTTGTATGGGATTTTCATTGCTATCTATCTATTTAAGGAAAGCATGCATGATGTACAGTGGTACCTTGGTTTATGAACTTAATCCGTTCTGCAAGTCCGTTCTTAAACCAAAGCATTCTTAAACCAAGGTGATCTTTCCCATAGCAGCGGGGGACTCATTTTACAAATGGAGCATACTCAACAGGAAGTGAAATATGTTCTTACTCCAAGGCAAAGTTCACAAACCAAAACACCAACTTCCTGGTTTGCAGTGTTCTTAATCCAAGTTGTTCATAAACTAAGCTGTTCTTAAACCAAGGTACCACTGTATACTGTGTGACAAAGAGCTTCAAGGCCTCGTTATAGGAATGAAACTAACCAATACTCTACTTTGCTGTAAACTAAACTTGGTTTAGTAGTCAGATTTCCTTGCAGATCAGTTTCCCCGCCCCCTTGCTGGTTTAAAATTATGATTTAAAATCAATCCACCCTGAATAGTTGTGATAATATCACTTCCATTTTGTACCTCCTATGCTAGTTGAAGGAGGCAGTGCGGGAGGCAGTGGAAGACAGAAGTGCCTGGCGTGCTTTGGTCCATGGGGTCACGAAGAGTCGGACACGACTAAACGACAACAATGCTAGTTGAAACCAATGACAGACAGAACGACGTGTTCCGAACTCAAATAAGTTCTTTATTTTTTTAAGCAAAGAAATTCCATTGAATCAAATGTAACAAAATTACTCTGTTCCGCATGACTCTGTTTATCACACACAGAACAAAAAAAATTAAGAAAAAAAGATCAAGGACACACTTTTAATAACTTGAAACGTTAGCAGATTTAGAAAAATTGCATTGCTAGTTGCAAATTTTCATCTCAGCAGCAACTGGTTCCTAAGAGACAAGAAAGGAACCAGCAACCATGAGAGTCACTTACACACATGAAACCTGTTCAGGGCAGCATTTTTGTTTCCAAAGGAATTAGGAATGTGAAAGTGATGTTTTCCAAAATGTCTGTCTGGAAGCAAAAATTACCAAAAAAGAAAAAAAGAAAAAACTGAGGTTCAAGAGACATTTTCTTAAAATAAAAAAACCCTAAAAAAACAAACACTCAACTCACTCCGATAAGGCAGCTGCAGTGACAGAAATCAAAGAGCGCACAGGTACAGGTCTAGCTTCCTGAGGTGTTCGGATATTCCTCTGTGTGTTCAGGAGAAAAATGGGGTGTTTATCTTTTAAAGTTGTGCTTTCTTAAATAAGGTGAAAGGCTGTCAGAACGAATCAAATGCAAAATCAAATTTACTTTCAAATGCAGTTGAAATAGCTGTGATGAAATAACTTGAACGGACAGACTCACAGATTCTAACACACTACACTGATGAATCTCAATGGCAGATTAAGTTCTTGAGGTTCCCAGTACAAAACAGCCACACAAATTAAGCCATGATGTCTGCATAGGCTTTTTACCAGCCATTGATCTGGAACTGAACCTACTTCAATTCTGGAAAAGGCTGTTTGGTACAAGCAGAGATTCTGCTGCATATAGCAAAATAATAACTCCTGCGAGTTGCAAAAAAAAAATAAAAAAAATTAAGCTGAAAAACAGTGAATCCCCATCTCAGGAATTTTGAAACAATGGCTTACTCTACAAGGATTTGAACCAGCAAAAGTGCTGGAAGGTTGGTGGTCCCAGAAACCGAGGAAATGTCTTGCACGGAGGAAATAGGGATGGTTGCTCTGGTTGCAAAATGGAAAAAAGCGGGGGGGGGGGGGAATACCAATTCTCAGTTCCAGCTTTATAAATGCTGCCCTTTCATGGTTGTGCCCTTTAATGTAACCAGCAAAAAGAACAGAACACCAGATGCTTCAATGAGATACAGTACAGTTTTTGATTAAAAAAAGGGGGGAAAGATCCCACTGCCCCCGCATTCCACCCGGCTGATTTCATCTCATTTTGTCAAGCAACCAAACCAGAGGCGCTTCAAGGCAAAGGAGATTTTAAAAAGAAAACAATTCCAGATAAGGAACATGTGGAGACAGCGAAACAAGATGTTAGAATAGTACGAAGGCCACAAAACTCCAGCAGCGTTGCATGGCACCCACCACCCCTTTTCAATGGAGACCTTGCTCAGTACACTACCAGCAGGCTACTTTTCGCCCTCACTGGCAATAAGTGTGCCTGGTGTGCGACTAAGAGGTCCGCATAACATGTAGCTAAGGAGGATTGCTTAGGCAACTGATATATGGGAGGGGGCCGGTGGTGTGTTTCAGATACTTTACAACCATCTTGTTGGCTATTATTACTCTTGTCAAGACTACTCAGTGATACACACCTGGACCTCTCCTTGTAGAGATGCTTTCCTATGATAAGAGTCCCCAGACAGGGAGTTGAAAGTTTCTATTCTGGCAGAAAACTCAAAGGCCAATGACAATACAATTGGAAGAAAACTGCTAACCTCTGTATAACTGAATGTAGGGCATGCCCTTTTAGAAAAGAATAGACCAAACACTTTCAGCATGAGTCTGGGACAAAAAAAGAGAGAGTTGTAAACATGGCCTGCTACCTAGTAATATAAGCCTTCACAAAAAGACCGGAGCCAATCTTAAAAAGGTGCCCAACCTTAAGAGTCCATGAATATTTGGAATACAAACATTTCAGCCACAACCAGGCCACTTTAGTGCAGGCATCAACAAAACAGTGAAGATATGAATGTTGAAATAGATGCACAGCTTACAGAAAGCTGCAGATGTTATCAGTGAAGAGCTGCTTTATGCTTTCATCTGATGAAATCTGCTTTGAAAATAACTGAACATGGCAGCTCTTACCACGTGGCAAACCAATTGAATGCAACAGATCACCTCAAACAGAAAGGTCTGAAGTGGTGTGCTGTTTTTTTCCTTTTTTTTAAGTAACAAGATCTGGTGAGCTCCTGTGCACAGTTACAAACAGCAAATCGTAACACAGAAAGCATCACCAAGATCAAATTTACTGGCAAAAATAATGGGATGGAAGAAATGTTAGTGTACTGGATGCTTCCTTGTTTTTGTTTGTTTGTAATATCTTTCGGGGGGGGGGGGGCTGAAGTCTAGCCTACTGACAAGCAGGGAGATGCATTACAGCAGAATCACAGATTTACTGGAAAATACTAACTGAAAGTCAGAATCACATATATTTTTAAAATGGAATTTGTAAAGCCACTTCCTCCTGTTGGATCAAGTTAACTCGTTCTTTCCCCTACTGGGGTTTTTTTTTCTGGGGGGCGGGGAGCATTTAGTGTATCCCCAAGTGTGTCTATCAAGCAGACTGAGAACCTAAATTTTATGGTCTCACTGGCAGTGTTCTGGGGCAAAATAGGTTTCCAAATTTCTATATGGCCATGTTAGTGAGAAGTAAAGACTCTAACAGCTCCACATTTTGGTGTGTGGGGGGGGAAAGGGATCCCTTCTAACATTTCACAAGAGCGCTAATGATTTTCAAGGGTTTGATGGTTTTAGACAAGAGTGGTTCAGGCTCTCCTCCATTTAAAAGAATTTTAACCACTGAAGTGATCTTCTTTGAAAAGGCTGTATTACATAGGTGCATTGCCATGTGATCCCTGAGTACTGAAGCTTAAGAATGCCTAAATATGAACACTGGAGTGCCATCAAAAGCAGGCATCAACTCATCTTCTTGTTCAGGTGCAAAACTAGCTCCATAGCTGAAGGGCCCTTTACAAATAATTGCATCCTCACATCCACCTTCAAGCAGGAGAAGGTAATAAAAGCCTTTCCTTTGTGAAAAATGCAGTTTCCCTTTTAAATGCATCAAAAATGTCTTACTTGGGTAGAAGTCAATGGTAGTGTTAAATTCCGCTATTTAGTACCTATTTGCTAAGAAGTGGGGCAGATGAGATTTATATGATCTAAAGAGAAACCAGAAGTGGGGCAGATGAGAAAGATGGCTCTCAGTGGCAAGTCTAGAGGAGCTTCTATGCTTATGTGCTGCTAGGCAAACTCTTTTTGGCAAAACAGCTGCACACTAAAGAGGAAAAAACTAATATTGTGGAGACTGATGTGAAACAGACACTCTCATAGCTAACTTTCTAAATTTTAAGTGGGGGTAAAGAAGCTACATTCACTTCCAATATATATTTGCAGTAACTAAAAATGATTTCAACATCTACTTCCACTCAAACAGAAAGGAGACTCTAGATAGTGACCTGCACTGCTTATGCACCTATAATTTCATCCGCACACTAGGGTTTATGTAGGATTTTGGCAGTTTATGGATATAGAAGAAAATTCCAAAGAATAACATACAAATAGGCTGAAAAAGAATGGAGAGCCAACTCTTTGAGGAAAAGGAAAGAGCCATAAGCACTGGCCAAATCATGTCTTGCTAGGCTTGGTCACTCCCTCAGATTTGAGGGGGTAGAACTTGAGTTCTACACAGCTTGCCAGACATGTCAAGGTTGCTGAACTAAGGCTGAAGGAGTTTTTATTCCTGATGTGAGAAATGCACCTCTGCTACAGTAGCTAATTATTGCTCAATAAATAAAACTAGAAGAGAATAGAATAACCCCCGAAAACTCAACCTTTCTGAATTTCAAAGCTGCTCCAGGATATGTTCTATGAAGCATCCAAGTTCAGAAAGGATTCATATCCATGTTAAAAAAAAATCACACTATAATTAAAGTGCCTTGAGAAACAAAATCAAAAAGGTTTAAACAATAAAGTGCTAACTGTTATGGAAAATGGGGTCCGTGAGAACTGCTGTAAAAACAGAGGTGAAAGGGACCACAAGGAGGCAACAGTGAGCTGACAATTCTGAAGGGAAGCAGTGTCTTACTACAATGTTCCACTGTCTTAATAGAAAAGTAATCTAAATATCAGATTTTTTAAAAATCTTATTAATACATATATGGCTGAATATTTTTCTTCCAGGGTGGAAACTCTGTAGCTCAGTGAAGAAATATGTCTCTCTATTGTGTGGCAGTAAAAAAAACTTTTTTACTGTAACTCAGCCTAATGCATCATTCACCAATTTTCTGTTGATGTCTTTGCTCTGAAAGACAAGTCAGAACACTGGACTCATCAGATTGTCCTATATAACCTAGTAACTGTAGATGCATTATATACAGAACTTTTTTTTTCCTTTTAAGCATTTCAATATTGTAGACACCAAATCCCCATCTCCTCTAAGGCAAGGCATACTGACTGAAAATAGCCAGTTCAACGCTTTAGAAGTCTGGGGATTTAATTTATTTATCTATTATGTTCTTCCCTAGCAGACATGAAATGTGGGCAAGACAAAAAAAAAAAAAAAGCATAGATGGATATTATATTCTCTCTTTCACACACACAAAAAGTTCCTAAGAGTATACATATAGATTTGCTAAGAAGTACTCTAGAAAACAAAACACAAAAAAGGGCCACCTACAAACTGATAGCAAGTGGCTTCCATTCGGAGACCGTATTAAAAGGCCTGGGTTAAGAGCACACAAATGTCTTGTGTCAAAATAAAAATTCCTTATACTAGAAAAGGCAAGTATCACAAGGCTACTTGTTTAGTCTCGAGTAGTAACACAACAGGGAATCCACTGGACTGATCAACCCAGAAGCCATCTTTGAGCAAAGTCTCAACAAAAAGCAAAATGTGACTGTACACACCCAGCCATCACTCCAGAATTCTGGAGCAACTGTAGTGCTGATTACACATCAAACACTTTCAAAGCAATCTAAACCCTCGAAGTGCATTAATCAGAAAGGGCAAGCCCCCCCACCCCCCTTCTCAAAGGGATGCAATTCCGGAAACTCAAAATTCTTTCAGCTTTCCCCTTGTTTTGTGGACAGCCTTTCCGATGACTTGCAGAGCGAACTACGACTGATTTCCTCTACAGATAGATATAGATGTCTCCCCCCAGGTGGGGAGGGAAAAAATGCAACCACAAACAGACTGTAACTCCTAACGCACATCACTGACTGCTAGACAAGTTTTGCAAAAACCAGAAGTGGGTTTTTTTGTTTCAGTTTCTATCAGTGAAAGTGTGAACAGATGGTCAAGAGCATCAAAACTTCTTGCTAATTTCAAAAATGTTCTTTTGTTGCACTTGTTTCAGAACCTTGAAGCAAGCTATAGATGGCAACCCACCAATACAGTGCATCAGTTCTTCCAATACACAACTGTACTGCAAATGATCAAATATACTCCAAACTTGCTCAGTGCCAGTCATTAGCCTCTCTGGCCGTAGCTCTACTTTGGCATGAAACACTATGGTCAATGCCCAAGTTCAACGTGTTCAGAAGTTAGGTCTGGAAAAGCAGAAGAGATTAAGAGTTCCAGAAGATGGGGATTAAAGGTGAAACAACCTGAAGTCTTTGGAACTGTTTATTCTTGGCCAGATGATTGTTCCGTATCGGAGCATTGTGATTTATTCTTCTCCCACTGACAGATGGCATTGGCATATTGGACCACAAGCTTATCCATCCAGGTGAGGGGTTCAGGAAAGAGTACTGCACCCTCAAAAAAACCCAGGTGACCTCCATGCAATGGCAAAACAAACATGACATTCTCCCGCTTTTCTGCAAGAGTGAAAAAACACAAGTTTAGAACTCAACAGGATCTGCATCTTACCAAAATACAGTACTTTGTCCAGTAAAACCTCAGGTTTAAGGTATAAAAGGTAAAGGGACCCCTGACCGTTAGGTCCAGTCACAGACGACTCTGGGGTTGCGGCGTTCATCTTGCTTTACTGGCTGAGGAAGCCAGTGTACAGCTTCCGGGTCATGTGGCTAGCATGACCAAACCGCTTCTGGCGAACCAGAGCAGCACACGAAAATGCCGTTTACCTTTCTGCCGGAGCGGTACTTATTTATCTACTTCCACTTTGACGTGCTTTCGAACTGCTAGGTTGGCAGAAGCAGGGACCGAGCAATGGGAGCTCACCCCGTTGCGGGGATTCGAACCACCGACCTTCTGATTGGCAAGCCCCAGGCTCTGTGGTTTAGGCCACAGCGCCACCTGCGTCCCTTATACTCTACTGTATTATTTTGGCTAGAAAATGTATATACAGCCACCTGTGTTCCAGGTAGGCATGATACTCCAGTTATAAGGCAGTTGCATTAGTCAAGATGCAAGCTACATGAAATCAAGTCTGTGCTGGATATTTCCCACTATCCTTCTAGAAAGGAAGATGCCCCAATACCCTCTTCTGCTGCTCCTTTAGTGTCAAATTTTAGGTTGCAAACTCCTTGCGGAAGGGGCCTATCTTTTTGGACTCTGTAAAGAATATGCACATTATGGTTCTATATGATACACATGCATAGGTTACAAGTTTGTCTGGTAAAACAAACATGCCCTCTGCCCTCCAAGGCTATCTTTAGGTTATCACAACACTACACTGCCTTGCAGAAATCTATTTACTGAAGCTTTCAGCTCACCTGAGAGGGCTTTTGGTATTGATAAGAGACTATCGTGCACCAGAGGGTCATCAGCAGCATTAACCAGCAAGAGGGGAACAAAGATCTGCAGATTAAAAAAAAAGAATTCTGTGTTGGAACACAATCTTGTTTGTAGTCTAGTTATGAAGTCACAATTGAGTACATCAAGTGCTGTAGGTGCCCTGAACCTGCAGAAACACCACTGTTCAGATAATACACATTTAAAATTGATGGAGGGGCTCCTTAGCACCAGTGTAAGTGATTTCTGTCACAGAAAGCTTTTATTACTACAAGCAGCAGTCAATAGCATATCTTCTGCAGTGCTGGGTTTGAGGCAAAACAAATTCACTGTTTTGCTATAGGTGGAAAAGATTTTGAACTAGTATAAAACTCAAGAGTGTAGAATTGGCTACGGTGACTTAAACTTAACATTTCCAGTGACAGACATCTGCTGCTTTCTAAATTTAGGGAAAACGGAAACAGAATTGGGGGGAGCACTAATGACAGCATATGTAGCCTACTCCATAGAAGTTAACCAGAAATTGCCTTACAGAAAAACAATAGATAAATAGATTCTATAAAAAATGTTGGTCTCCAAGTACCTGACCATAAGATAAGATAATAAACTGGTTGTAAAAATTTCACAGAGATGCATATTTCCATTTGCTGACCATACCACAAATAAGCATACTTTCCAAGGCAAGGAAAATTATTGCTAATTTATGATGACCCCACATAAAGCCTTTTGATTAGTACTACTATTCAGCAACATGTGCTATAAGCTGGGCTAGAAGCACATGAGGACCTTCTCCATCTCACCACAAATCTCACATACTAACATATGTGACATATGTGGTACATGTCAAAAACTAGAGTAACAATATCATATCAACTTACTTTCTGCAAGTAATGCAGGCAACTCTCCTGTTCATAGTATTCCTTTAAGGTGCTGTAGCCATGGAACTTCCTGAGACACAGTAAAAAAGAAGCTTAAGCATTTAGAGATTTTCTTGTTATTGAATCACATATATTTTCTTCTAATTCTTATACGATATACGATACGATATCTTTATTGTCATTGTCCCTTGCGGAAAATGAAATTGAAAACTACATAAAACTACATAAAAACTACATATAGGATTACAATAGTTCTCCAAATAAGACACTTGAAATAATTACTTCTATACAAGTTAAAGCCAACATTCTGCTTCGGCTTTCAAAAGAACTATCTAGTGCCACATCCAGAGAATATGGAACTATTTATATGTTCCTCCTGTTCTTAGCTTTAATATCTAAATTCCATTCCCCAAGACTGTCTGTCCTGCAGAAAAAAAGCATCAAAAGAAGAATGTGGCTACTTAGTAAACAATTAGCTAGGGAACCAAATACCAGGCAAGGAAGCAGTAAGACAAATATGTGGAAAGGAATGTACACACACGTAGCCATATCAAATACACTGGAAACATCCTTTCCGATTTAACTGCAGAACCCGTAAGTTAAGGAAGTTAAAACTAATTATATTACTAGCCCCTCTTTAGATGCAACATCAGGCTCCCACAAAAGTCAATCCCCTACCCAACTAGTAGAACGTAATGCTGATGTTCCTATTACTCCCAGCCATCCTAAATATTATTTGTACTGGTCATGAGCCATAAACAGGCCATCCTACGAATTATTTGTGTACAATACATTCCAGGACTCCTTGGATGAAGTAACAGAAGCAAGCAAAAACAAGCAAGGAAACACAAATAGGAGGTATAGCAACTCCTAGTCTGCCTATTTGGGAATGCAAGTTTTACTGAGGAACAAGCGTGCAGCCAAAAAAAGGAGGGTGTCCTCTGAGGACAGGGTTGATTTCTTGCCATATCACTATAGGGTGTAGGGGAAACTAAGGCTAACCAACGAAGGCTTTATCTAGTTTCTACGGGAAAACCTACCCTTGAAACTCCATGACAGAAGTTCAGCTATGTAACACAATTATGTAGAAAGTGGTAAGCACTGATCATAAGGAATCACAACTTTTTGCTTATGCCAATGGCTACTGGCAAATCAGTATATGAAGAATTTGATGCAACTACAAATCTAAAATAAACATTTCATGCAGACCGGCTTCATTTTCCATCTATACCATAACTGAAAGTGATTCAACACTGGTGCTAGCTTTTGGGGGCATTGGTGCTGCTAACAAAATGACACTCCTGGCTCTATTCTGATGAACTTTTACCTGCACCCTTCGGGTGTTTCTGTAGCACCACCAAGTAACTCAAATTATTGGAATTTGCTAAAGGAATTAGATGACAAGGATCACTGTTTTCTAACCATTCAGAAAAGATTTGTAGCACTGGCTTAAGATATGTTTCACAAAAACACTGTAGAATCTCAACTGCATAGTCTGATTAGTCAACCCTGCACCCTAATTTTACTCACTCAACAGCGTTGCTATTTACAGCATGGTAAATTCATTTTTTAAAGTGTAACGAACAAGAGGCAAGACAAACCTGTAAACAATAAGATCTAGAAAGAATTGGGAGTTATATGCACAATGATGATAACAACAGCCTCCATTTCAGGAAGGTCTAAACGACAGGGGAGAGTTACCAAATGTGCTTCTTGATATGCATACCTCATGATACTGTCATCAATCTGCATAAGGGATGTTGCTGTGTGAAGTCTGCTCAAGTCTGACTCTAATAAACTCTGAGGCTTTTTAGGGCTCTCAGCAAACAAGGTGTGTCTGAAACAGAGAATGAAGTCAGTGACTATGAAACATAGACATACTCTAACTATTAGAGAACGTACTCTATTGGGTTTACTGCTGATCTGAAAGTTACTTCATAAATTGCTTTATGTTGACACAGATCTTAAGATCCATGTTACTGTCATCTCCAATACAATTCTGAATCTGTCCCGTGTGAAAAAAATACAAAAGGCAGTTTTGTTCAGCCCTGAAGACTTGATACTGGCTCAGATTTTGACATTGGTGCAGAAACTGGTGCAGATACAAACAGTATACCTGAAGGAGCGTCCTCCATCGTTCAGCCCAGACACTGAGGTCCAGCTCTGAGGGCCTTCTGGCGGTTCCCTCACTGTGAGAAGTGAGGTTACAGGGAACCAGGCAGAGGGCCTTCTTGGTAGTGGCACCCGCCTGTGGAACACTCTCCCATCAGATGTCAAGAAAATAAACAACTATCTGGCTTTTAGAAGACATCTGAAGGCAGCCCTGTTAATGTTTGAGGTTTTATCGTGTTTTTAGTACTCTGTTGGGAGCTGCCCAGAGTGGCTGGGGAAACCCAGATGGGTGAGGTAATAATAATAATAATAATAATAATAATAATAATAATAGGAGTAAAATTGAGCCAAGGTCAGAAATGCTTAAGAATCAGTGTACTGCAGTAGTCAGGAAGTTGGCCTTAGAGCAATAGATCCCAGTTCAAAGCCCTGCTCAGCCATGAAGCTTGCTGGTGTTGACTTAACGTGGGCCAGACATCTCAGTCTCATTTTTCTCACAGTGTTGCTGAAAAATAAAATGGCAGTGTGTGTGTGTGTGTGTGTGTGTGCGCGCGCGCGCGCAACCACATATGCCACCTTGGTCTCCTTGAAAGAAGGAATCTCTCTGCCCATCCCAGTGCTGGAATTTATTTCCACCTTTGTGATGCTGCAAAAACCAGTGGGGTCTTCAGGGGCTGAAAAATCTGTTTGGGGGACTGAATGAGGCCCCTGGGCCAGAGGTTAGCACTCCCTGCACTAGGCCCTGTGGGCAATTACATTACTTAGCAATAGCCCTGTCAGCGGAGGTGAGAACAATGCAAGAGGGTGTGTGCTGTAGACTATGGATCAGATGCATGATCATGTTCTCCAAAAAGCAGAGGTGGAGCAGAAAATGTGCAAAAGGAAGTTTGGTTTGAGGGTTGGCCTTGGAGCACAAAAGATCCATTATGGAGACAAAAGTGTTTTTGTAGATTAACAAGCCGTCCTTCAAACCTGCCAAAGGTTGCTCATGCTTACAACTAAGAGCTCTTTTAACAGGGAGATTAATATATTTAGTTAAGTTGTCATAATATTTAGTTATCTGGGATGAATTAAGGGGGTTCTATATCCTATACATAATTAGAGTCTCTTAAAGCTGTTTTTCCATACTGGCTTAAACAGGAAGCAATACAGCAACTACAGTTACAAACTCTGACTACTGCTAACCTGGAACTGTTCAAACAACCAGTTATTGTAGTTTCACACCCTTTCCCCAAGCACAGCCAAAGTGTCACAGACTTTCTTAAGTAAGATGTTTCTGAAAGTAAGGTTACTAACGCACATGGTTCTTCAGTAGCTACTGATCCAGAGGAGAATTAATTTTGTTGGTACCCTGCTCAACTTGGCGACACATAAGAACAATTTATGGTACTGCACATTATCAGCGGACACAGAGGCCCATTTAGAATATAAAGAGCATCATTTTGTACCTGTGAGACAATATGATTTTCTTCAAATTGTCTGCCATGAGGAAGTTGTAAAATCTCCGACACTGATCCCATTGCATGAAGGTTTCCTGTGCCCTAAAGATATGACATGGGGGAAATCAATTGAAAGCTGGAAAAGCAAGCTTCCAGGGTCATAGCAACAAAAAGTACTCTGCAAATAGATGGCAGCATTTCCACATAACTAATTTGATTCACTTCAAGGGGCCACCTATAAGTTATCACAGCTTAAAAAGGAATCAGCTTTCTTTTTTTCCAAACACACAATAATGCATAAGAGAAATGTGTCATTAAAGGGTTCAGCCAGCAGGGGGAATAAAAGCATTAGAAACTGGAGCACAAAACAGCCAACAGCTTGCAAAACAGAACTTTCTAGGAAGAGATGGGTTCAGTTCTATGTTGTCTCAACAGGTAATTTCAAACATGCGTTACAAAAATTGACAGAGCATGGACAGATGAACTCAAAACTGTATTTGAAACTGCTTATTTTTTAAAAAACAAGGTTAACTAGGTAAGGAAAACACAGAGCAACTAGTACTTATAAGAATGAGAGGTTTTTGCACAATACCCACCTCCCTTTTAATACTGCAGTCTCTGAATGTGTACACATGCCAAAGGTGGCACAGTCTTGTGAAGCAATTTGTAAAAGTCTAAAATCTATCTTGCAGTTACATGCAGTATCCTCACATTTTTCTCAGGTTCAAACAAAGTTTGACAAATATTTTAGAGATGGGGAGGAGAGAAGACACGGTGTATTAAGCTTATGTTGTTCCAATTTCTAATCCTCTTGCTTAAAAAAATTAATCCTGCCACACGATTTCTGCAGCTGCACAGTCGTAAATATAAAGGGAGCCTTTGTTGTCCAGTTTGGAACCAGAGCTGAATTGCTAAGTGTTCTATTAATATGGAGGTTGCCATTTCCTTAGCCTGCTTGACACTTTCTTCAACCAGAAGGGCCTCCTGTGTAGTATTTACATTCAGATACAACATTCTTTAGTTAAAGTGCAGTTACACTACAGTACTGCAACTAATGAATTTCAATTGCATTTATTTCCTAATAAGCAGAACTTTGCATACTAAATGTCATTCTAGGGAAGGCTTCCAACTCTATATCCATTTGTGCAAGTGAGTGATGAAATAAATGACTGGTTGTTGTTTTTTAGAACAGTACCCTCCCTTGGGTTTTGACCTTAAAATACACCAGAGCTCATCGAGGTTAGGTTAAACGATTTTTAACCTTTCTTTCAGAGCACACTGCCCTCAGCGCACAGGACTATAAAAAGCATGGTTGCTACATACTCTGCCTGAATTAACATTACTGTAAATGTACAGATATCTAATCAGATCTGAAAGAACACCAAGAAATTCCCTTCCTAAACCTCTACTCATCATTTGGAGGCTGGCAAGAATATAAGACTCTATCTTTCAATATTCCAGTGTAATCTGGCTTTATAATACTTTCGATACCATTGACCATGGTGTCCTTTTGAAGCAACTGTCCGAACTAGGGGTTGGGTGGCACCACTCTGCGGTGGTTCCAGTCCTACTTCCCAGAGGGTGTTGCTTGGGGAATGCTTTTCAGCCCTGTGGAACCTTCACATCTACATAAAACCGCTGGGTGGGGTTATCCAGAGGTTTGGAGTACATTGTCAGCAGTATGCTGATGACACTCTGCTTTATTTCTGCTTTACATCTGCAGGTGAGGCAGTGGAAGTGCTGGACCAGTGTCTTGCCTTGGTAATGGACTGGATGAGAGCCAAAAAACTGAAACTCAATCCAGATAAGACTGAGGCACTGTTAGTGGGTGGTTCCCTAGACCAGATGGGTGGAGATTGCCTGTTCTTGATGGGGTTACACTTCCTCTGAAGGAGCAGGTTCATTGCTTGGGGGTACTCCTGGATCCTTTGCTGTTGCTCAAGGCTCAGGTGGCCTCAGTGGCCCAGAGTGCCGTCCACCAGCTTCAGCTGGTGGCCCAGCTACACTCCTATCTGGACAGGGATAGCCTAACTACTGTTGTCTATGCTGTGGTAGCCTCAAGGTTGGATTACTGCAATGCGTTATACGTAGGGCTGCCTCTGAAGACGGTTCAGAAACTTCAGCTAGTGCAGAATTCAGCTGCCAGGTTGCTCACCGGAGCAAGATGGCTTGAGCATACTACACCAATCCTGGTCTGACTGCACTTGCTACCAATTCTTTCCGGGCCCAATTCAAAGTGCTGGTTTTGACCTATAAAGCCTTGAACAGCTCAGGACCACAATACCTCAAGGACCACCTCTTCCCATATGAACCTACCCTGACCTTGAGATCATCTCCTGAGGCCCTTCTTTGTGTGCCTCCTCCTTGAGAGGTCCAGAGGGTGGCATTTGAGAACGGGTCTTCTCTGCAGTGGCTCCCCATCTGTGGAATGCTCTCCCCAGAGGAGTTCACCTGGTGCCTTCATTATATAACTTTAGGTGCCAGGCAAAAGCTTTCCTTTTTAACCAGGCCTTTGGTTGATTTGACTGACATCCTATGCCCTTTTAAAATGTGGGGGTTTGGGGGGGGAGGGGGTTATTGGGTTGCTGTTTTTATTTTGAGGTTTTATATTTTGATTTTGTTCTGTGAACTGCCCTGAGACCTTTGGGCATAGGGCAGAATTATAATATAATATAATATAATATAATATAATATAATATAATATAATATAGGTGTGCTTCTAAGTAGCACAGACAAAGCAAGCATCTTTAAGGTCCTTTTTTAAATGTCACTTTTGATCTCTTGGGATATATGTAGCTCCTGTGTGCACACATGGACACTACTATACATCCTGTTTGGAGCCTCAGTTCAACACTGGAAATACACAGAGCCAAAGTAGTTTTGGGAGACCGTGACTCTGAACAAAAGAACAGCAGGAGGGAAGGGTGTGTCTAATATTCTTCCCACTGGCACTTTTCCTAATTATAATCACCTCTGCCCAGCTAATGCATCCCCATTTTACAGCAGAGTTCTAGATTTGTGTTTATGCAAAGGGAGGTGGCAGCTGGAAAAGGTCTGGAGTTTTGCAGAAAAAATGCTAGCAAGGTTAAGAACACTCTAGTCTCCCCCTATTCCTCTGCTAAAAATGGCAGCCTCCCAACGCTACTTTCCACTTATACATACCGCCTCTCCGCCCCCCCCCCCCCCGGAATCTGTTATAGTAGTTTGCACGGAGAATTAGTTTGACCCAGCTCTCAACCCAAAATACACAGCACAACTGTAGGCAGAAATGATACTAGCAGCAATGACACGGCATAACTAGATATCAAAAAAACTGGCCATGACAAAGCTTCCAAAGAGACTGCTAATATTGAATAAAAGAGTACAGATCAATAGGTTGGGTATGTGGAAATGGTTTGAACCCTTTGCTCTCAACTAAACGCCTACAGCAACTGAATATGCCAACAGCAATTTTAATGATGAAATCTGCTGTAAGTTTCCAGTTCCCTTTTTTGTGCAAAAAGTTCAAAACACAGTTTAGTCACAAAACTTCACACAACTAAAGTTTTTATGCTCCTAAACCCCAAAGAAAGCTTTCGGTATCTGTATCATATCTCCATGACCAGCAGATTGTTTCCTTAGCATGTACCATATGTTTCTCTTGCTCTACAAGACCAAGCTTACCTCAGTGCACTGTACCCTTGACATACGCTGACACAGCACAATACACCCTCTTGGTTAGTCTGGTTCTCCCCCAGATATTTGCACACTATGTTTCCACCGAGGCTGAAGCCCACAACAACCAGCTTGGATTGAGGATAAGTTTTCCTGATGTAGTTCACCATGGCTCCAAATTCCCATGTGCAACCTGTAGAACAGCAAAAAAAATTAAACATCACATATCACAGATGCATTTAAAGTCCCAATCTTCCCCCAGAGCTCACATATGCACTTCAAGAGACAACATTTCTGACAACATTGTTCATTATTGAAGCACAATGGGCATTTTTGCACATATACAGTGATATTCCAGAAGATCATACAGAGGGAGAATACACCCACATTAATAGTGAAACCCACACCTGCTCTTCTAAAGAACCTTTTTCTTCCCTTTTTTACTGCCATATGAACAGAGCCTCTAACTGCCGGCTACAGCAGCAAACTCCCCCCCCCCTTTTTTTAAAGGATCAAAGCAAGTTTTTCAAAATATTTCATTCTCTGTTCAGCAGTCATCAGGTTCCAGCCAAAAGCTGTAACTAAAAATACTACACACACTGTCATTTCTTCCAAGTGTGAACTGGGAGAGAAATCTATAAAGTAGCCCCCTCCCTGCAAAAATAAAAAACCCAAAATTGCTGCTCACAGTCCAGATTTCCAGCAGCTATTCAGCGATCAAGTCTAATTTGTGCATTTGACTGTAATCCTTCATGTGCAGGGATTTGTACAAACTTTTGGGAACTGAAGACTGTATTCATACACATAGCACTTCCTGTGCCAACATGGCCTGACTATTATTTTCTACTGTCAATGGCCACTCATTCAAAAACATTTACAGGAACCTAGGAAGCTGCCTTATACCGATCAATGGGGTCCATCTAGCTCTGTATGGTCTACAATGACTTACAGTGGCTCTCCATGGTTTAAGATGGAGTCTCTCCTAACCCTTCTTGGAGATTATAAGGACTGAATCCCAGACATTCTGCATGCAAAGTAGATGCTCTACCTCTGAGCTACAGCCCTAAGAGGCATTATAACCCTTCAGGAATTTTTAGAGTTAGGGACAGCACCAAGAAGCCTTAATACCAATACCACGCTGATCCCCAGGGCTTGCTTGCAGTGACTGAAACAGGACTATGTTGTGTTCCAGCTAAGCAACATAACATGGGTTTCTGAGACACTCTGGCAGCCCTTAGGTGGGCACAAAAAGTTACTGGCATGCTTCTCACCTCCATATTCTGGAGGGTCACAGAATATGGGGAGATGGGGATCTTGGCAGTGAGCTTCATATTGGACCCTTGGCTACAGATGCAGTTTCTCTTCGGCTCTCACCCCCTTCTCCCATTAGCTCTCTTGGGGCTGCAGCAGCTCTATCACCATCTTACTTTCTTTTACCTTCCCACGACTATGAAGCAGCATGCTTCCCAAACTTAGAATATAGCAGCCTCATTTGTGTTTTCCCTGCATGCCTTCTTTTCTGGGAGAGGAAAGGGTGCTTATCTTTGCACTAAAGTAGGGGTGCCACGTGTCCGGGAATCAGATTGCAATTTTTTAAAATCGGACTGTAATTTGGGAATATGGCAACCCTATACTAAGGTTTTGGATGCACTTCATCTCTTTCCTTTCAGAGGATGTCTTCCCAAAAAGAACAAGAGGATAGGGTGACTAGGGTTGGACCAGATGCAGCTCCATGGCTGGGCATGCTCAGCCTGGAATATGCTCAGCAGGTACTGAGTTGATTTCCCAGCCCCTGAGAGGATACATGTGTCACAGCTTGATATTTAATACTTTGGGGAGGAGAGACATTGCACAGCACTTTTTTGGTAGGGAGGATGCATCTTCATTCTTGAAAATGTTTTTCAAGCCTTGTTTATGAACACCATACCTAAGCCTCAAAGAACATAACTCCCATAGGAAGGAGGGGCGGTGCAGAGCTTTACAACAACATTTTGGGTTGCTCAACAACACTCCAGAATTATCTCCTGAGGGCGGAATAGACTATGGTTATTAAAGAGCAGCCATGCAGTAGACTGCACCCTGGAGGCTTGAAATTCTAATCACAAGCACTGAGATACAAGATGTGACAAGAGCCAACAGGCCTACATCAGCTAAAGAGATCCCCACTCTCCTTTAATAGATATCAGCTTTATGCTCACCTGCTCTCTAAAGCTATCTTGAAAAGTTACACATCACTTACTTTTCTGGCAAAGAGAATCAAATAGATAGCTACTTTTCTCCTAGGTGGATGAATGTACTGGACAAACAGATGCTGGGAAGCTGGTAATGCTATAGTGGTTGCATCTTCAATTGCTATCTCATGGTCACCCAATTGTGAAGCATTATATATGGCAAAACATTGGCAAGGTGATCATGGTATTATCTCACCAAGTCATCTTGTCCCTACTACTTTCCCTTCCCAATGTTTCCCAATATAGTGTACTGTAAAGAGAGGGGTTTTAGGAATCAACCCTTGGAAACAAAATTAATGCAGACTTAGCACAAGTAATAGCTGCTACTTTGAATACTGTGTTGTTTTTTTAAATTGAGCAAGTAAGTCATCCTGCTTGGGAATTAGCAAAAAGGAGGAGGTTTTATCACAGACAACACTTTCAAGCTTCAGAAGGCACCATCTAGTGTGCTTTGACATTAGAGGACTTTGTCCAGTTGCAAAGTAACTCTGAAAGATTAAGATGAAAGAGCCAATATTTACCATAAGTGAACATACGTGGTGAAGTCAACTCAATAGTTGGCAGAGCTCCAAGGTGGTTTAGCACAGCACATCGATAGCCATTCTTCTGGGAATAGTCAACAAAGGTGCGGATGTACTGCTTCTCACTGTGATTGGCTATTCCTGGGCAAATTACCATTGTGATATCTTCTGCACAATGAAAAAGGTCAGGAGAGGCAAGTTTTAAAGCAAAAGCAAAAGAATACATGCTAGTTATACCAGTTTCATATTCCACAAAGACAAAACACATTTATTTCACAACAAAGCTATTTTTGTTCCTGATGCATACAGTTTGATCAATCTGTAGTGATGTTTTATATGCTATGTTTATATCATCAAGGGAAATACACAATATGCCCTGCACAATTTCAGAGTTTGTTCATCTAAGTTCTTTCATCTGACTGAGAGGAGTTTATTTTAACACTTTACTACAGATGTCACTCCAAACGATGTCACTGAGAGAGATGATTTCTATCAGTTTCCGTACATTATTTTGAAACTCTTCATGAAGAACCTTGAGTTCTTCTGATTAAAACTGAAGGTCATTGAGGCTAACTAGAAATAACTTTATAAGAGAAGGAATTGTTTGTTTTGGCACGTCTGTTGACTAAATAAAGGGTCCAGATTTATACACTGAAAAATATCCATTTGGTCAGCAATGCTTCCTTCTTTTAAAGATCAAATCAAAGTTGCTGAGAAAGCAACTGCTGAGAACAGCTCTACAGCTCATCACATTGCTATCTACATTGGGAAACAATGCTTGGTAGTAAGAATCAACCCTCCAGCATCTGGTACAATTCCACATTTGAGAGTGAAATTCTTAGAATATTTAGCAGCAGCTTCCTATGCACTAGAGCAACATTTCAAAACAAGCAGAATCAACGGCCCCTTATACCTCACCTTCAGAAAGACATGTCATTACTCACTAAATTTTGATATATTGTTTTTAAACACACACACACGTTCCAGATGTGATTAAGCCCATATACACAAGAGAAAAGTCCTACAGGCAAAACAGCCTGTTTAGAGACCTTAATCCTAAGCATTATGTTATTTATGGGTCAGAGGAATAGCATTTCATGCCCATTAACTCAACGGGAAATCTAGGCCATAAACCTTGTATCTTATCACTTGGTTGTAAAAACTGATTTTTTGGTACATGATTCATAACAGCACTAGCTGCAGAAGCTTACAACCACCTAAACATGTCCCGGAGTTGTGAAAGCAGTGGCTCCCTAGCCTGCCAATGGTAGCCAAATTAGTAGTGTATTTCCCCCACATTTACTCAAACTTCTAATAAAAAACCCACAACAGCTGGTTATCTCACCTCTAATGCAGTTTTCAGCCAGTGGTTCAAAGAGGTCAAAAGTTGCTGTTGCACCATCTGACATTGTGAGGTACTTGCGAAGTCCATAAGGATGCGGTGATCTTACTCTCCCCATCTTTCCATAAAGGGCAGTCTGTATGTGCCCACTCTTTCCCCAGATCAGAGGTGGAATGTACCTAAAAAGAAAACAAATGCATTTATTTGCTTTAGGACAGCAGATCTGCTATTGAAACAAGGGCACTTCTTTCCTAGAGTAGTATTTTGTGATGTGCAGGGGTAAAAAAATAAGGAGCAGCTGCTTGGTAAGTGCATTGGCCAACAGATATAGAACTGGAGCCCCCAACCTATTGATCTGGTATCAGGTATAATTTAGTGACTTCTGATAAACACTAGCTACAGAATGCTTACAAAAGCATTTCCTTTCAAAGAAGAAGAGAACATCTGTACTATGCTTATCAGGAAGGTGGTACGGCCTGGTGCCAAAGCAGATGGCCTTTTATCTCGGATTTATGTTTGCTGGTGTACTGAAGAAGAAACTTGGTGGGGGTGGGGAGATAAAGATATAAAGATGATAACTTTATCTGCTTTAGGAACACCAATCTAAATGGGAAGGAATCAGTAGGTGAGCAATACAAAGCTGCCAGAACAGGAGGGACCTTTTCAATGCATATCAGGAAACCTAGTTCATTACTCAAAAGAAGTATGTCCTTGGTACCAATACAGAGGTCATGAGCATATGAAAATGGTGGAAAGCGAGCTTTCTACTGTACACAGAACAATCATGCCTGACACTGGTGAGCTCATCAGAACCTGACTCCCAACATAAAAGCATAATGAATGTCTAAATTATGTGCTTATACTTATTATGTGCTTATACATTGGATTTTACCTGCCACCTGTCAGAGTCTCTAGGTGACTCACAACAGAATAAAACTCAATAAAATTTAAAACGGAGCAGCTATCACTAATTTGGAGCAAAAATACAAAACACAGAAAAGCAACAGCATTAGAATGTCACTACACATTGTTCTACAGCAACTGACTGACTGTCAACAACTGATTCTCAGTAATTCCCAATAATACACAAGCAATGGACCAAAACAGCACATTCTATCAAATGCCTGGCGAAAACATGAACTTGGTGCTGAAAAGTTGCTAACATAAGCACCAGACAGTCATCGTAGGGGACAACATTCCTTAACCTGGAGCTCATAAGAGAAACAGCCCTCTTCCCTTCTTATGTGGAGAGGTGCTCCAATACTTATTGCGTCCTAAGCCCTACAAGGCTTGGGAACCCATTATGAAGAGAGATCAGGTCAACATTTGACCAGTAAAACACATGTGCATGCACCTGCTCCAATAAATAAATAAATCAGTAACCTGACCAGTCAAACAATAGCCAAATATTGAAGCACAGATTTATTAGAAGAGAGAGGAATATGAAAACTACAAGAGATACTGTGGCTCTAGAAAACGTCAGAGCCCAATCCCTTCTACATGACCCCAGGGCAAATGAAATGGTTTCAGTGATAGCCCCAAGTCTGGGTCATTTGCAACATGTACATGCTTGATTTATGCTTTCTCTTGAATCTTACTTCTGATTAGACATAGCTGTACTTATAGCACATGGCCAGTGGGAAAAGTTGGCCACATGGCTTAATTTGGAAGAGGGCAGGTAGGCATATTGAAATTATTGCAGAGCTGCAGCTAGGTCACACTGTACCACATACACACGCTAGTATTGTTGCAAATGCAGGAGCATTAATCAACAACTGATTCCCAATAATGTAAACATTCTTAAGAGGACAGCCAGTCAGTATTGCTTAGGAACATAGAAAAGGTTTGTAAATCAATAAAGGAAAGCATGTTGTCAACCGCTCTGAGATCTACTGATGAAGGGGGGGGAGTACAAATTTAATAAATAAATACAGGAAACACAGAGTTGCAGTGCAGAGGTGCCTGCCCCCTTTTAAAATTATACAAACGGCTTAGTGAGTCTTGTAGGTAAAGCAAAAGGGCCCTCAATGTATTGCCATCAGAGGACAGCATGATACAACGAAAAAAGGGGCTATCAGTCACACAGACTTTGTGATTTTTTGGAATCTTTGACAGTATCAAATAACAGATAGTCAATTGACTAGCACTGCAATCCTATCCAATTTGTTCAAACACATTCATACATCTTTCATATCCTGTGCAATGTTTGGTGTTGCTAATAGAATTATTCATGAAAGGTCATCAGCATGATCTAATTAAACATTAAACACCAGCAGTGGAAATACAGATAGTTGGTGGTTTTTTAGCAGACTGGAAAGAAGAAATTTCCATTATGCAGTTAGCTGTCCTAAACTGGTGTTCTAAATGCTCTTAACAGCCTTGTGGTTAATAATTCCAAAATATATAGACCAGTATCGTGGCAGCTCCTACAACAGTAGTGCAAATGATACATAAGTCATGTTGATTATATGCAAGTAGAACATATGTACACAGACATTTAGCTTCAGTTTCTACACAAAGCTCCTCTTCTTGCTCTAGTAAACAGCACTGCATTGATGCAATTGTGCTGCTTATAGTCATGCTACTCTCAAAAGAATGCCAGAGATGCTCCTAGTTTCCTGTGGACAACAGTAAGAGCATTTCACAAGATCTTCAGATTAATGAGCTGCACTAGCATTTAAATTACTTGTTCCCATTATAGGCATATGACAAGACTTCGAAGTTTGGAGACTTTACTAAGAGAGTGTTGTTAAGATGCTGCTTAAGAATATGCCTGAAACTTAAAAAAAAAATGTTAAGGTAGAATTATCATTAGCCAAATTTGAGCAACCCAAAGTTTTATCCAAATTTAGTCATAATCAAAGTTGACTCAATGACACTAATGGACATGACTGAATTAAAAGATCTGCTATGAGCAAACTTTAGTTGGGGCACAGTGCTCATTTCCCAAATTAAGAAGACCGCCATCAGCTACAAGATCTTGTTGATACTGTGCTACTTATACTCTACCTTGCTGAAGCTAATTAGGTCTGGGTCAGGTCAGTAATTGCCTTGGAACCATTTAGATGCTGCCTTGGGTTCCGCAATGGAAGAAAGGCAGGATTCAGAATAAAAAATAAATAAGCAAACAAATGATGGCGCCTAGAATTGTGCTTTTGTCCTGGGCTTCTAGTGCTACAGGCTCTCACATTAAAGTTATTACTGATCCAGAATTATTGCCAAGCTGAAACAGTTTAAGAGGGGGGAAACATATAAATAAATATTACCTATGCTGCACACTGTAGAAACATAGGTCACAGAAGGACACCCTAGGCTGATGGCAACTTTTAGAAGAAAAAAAATCTTAACTTTAATTGTCACTGGTTCTAAGTGTTTTAATTAAATCACTGATATCAGTGGGACCACTCTGAAAATGACTTAGTTGTCTTACCACCACTGACTTGCTCCACAGCACTGTTCTTCTCACAAAGTAGTTCTTGCAAAAATTTCACAGCGGGAACTACCTTTTCCTGTTTTTCTCACCAACCACAAACAATACATTTATATGGCTCAAGAGTTTCACCAAACTCTACACTTCCTTTATGAAGCAAAGCATTTAGCAGCCTAATATACAGCTTCTTCTCCTTCATGACTGTTCTCCTAATAAAGGTGTATTTGCAGTGCAGTTACTCACAGTTCAAACATGCATTATGCTGGTGAGAAACACAGAAACGGTGCATAGCTGCACACAATTACATTTGATAACAGATAACACTGTCACTGGGGAGTGGTTTATCAGTGAGCAGTTTCTATTGTACTGCTGACAGACTTTGGATCAATCCTCTTTTGCCACCATTCCATGGTATTAATATCTAAGGGCCTTTCAAGAGGCCCCCAACGTGCAATTTACAGTGGTACCTCAGGTTAAGTGCTTAATTCGTTCCGGAGGTCCGTTCTTAACCTGAAACTGTTCTTAACCTGAAGCACCACTTTAGCTAATGGGGCCTCCTGCTGCTGCCGCACCGCCGGAGCACGATTTCTGTTCTCATCCTGAAGCAAAGTTCTTAACCCGAGGTACTATTTCTGGGCTAGCGGAGTCTGTAACCTGAAGCATATGTAACCCGAGGTACCACTGTAATTCACATCCAACTACAAGGAGTCTCATAGGAGTGTTGGGAATAATGATGAGTCTGTGCAATGTTTCCCAAGGCCAAAGCAGAGTGTCTCATAACCAAGTGCCCATAACCAAAGCACTAGTGATGCAAACGTATGGAATCTTCTTTCTGCTTGAGTGTTAGTATTTTGCTTTCCAAATCACATTCCTCTAGCAGTCAACTAGCCTCTCAAGCCTCTCCAGATCATGTACATGGAAATATTACAAGTTTAATAAAATCTTGCTTTTCAGTATTGCACCATCTCAGCACAGGAAACCAACTGTCTAGCCTGCAACATGTATTCCATATCACCCTGAGAGCTGATCCAAAAGCAAGCAAGCAAAAGCCATTTTACTTGCTTGTTAAAATTGTGCTTTGCCTTTCCACCCAATTGCACACTTTACCTTAATATAGAATGTAAAAAGCTCAGCTTGGCCCATTATCCATTAAAATATTTTATGCAGGTTGAACACAGAAGTATTGTACTATGTACTATGGCAAGAGGATTAAAACACTTTATCATGTGCTGCTTGCAGTCCTGCTGACCTTGCCACCCCATGACAAGTGTTCACTGCTGCTGAATGATTTTGGGGAAAAGAGAACAAAAACTCAAAAATTACTACAAATGCTGGTCAGGTGGAAAGTGAAGTTAAACCTCATCAACTGTGCTGTGTTTGTCATTATTTTACGCTCCTTTCAGGAGGTCCAGTTCCAACACAAGCTAACTTGATTAAAACAGAAATTACAGTTTGACCTGTGTGTGCTTTTACTCACTTGTTCCAGCAGTCCTTTAAAATCAGGAGATCAAGCTAGAAGAGGCATGCAAAATCCCTTAAGCCTCAGTAAGGTCCTTGGCATATCCCAAGGAACACAGTAATTAAGATTCCATGCATCTTAATTAGGGTTTAACAGCAGTTTTTTACTTGGTTAACAGGAACCCAATCCTGCACATGTTTCATGAGAAGAAAGTTCCTCTGTGTTCAATGCTTACTCCCAAGTAGATTTAAAAAACAACAACCCAAAAACTAACATGCTCACTAAACTATTGAAGAGCCTTCAAATGCAGACATTATCAAGTCTCAGTGATAAAAATAATTGTTTAAATTAAAAAATTAAGATTTTAAAATTTTGAATAGGATTTTTAAAATTCAAATCAGAATAAGTGTATGACAAGTATTTGGCTATACAGTACAGCAAATTCAGATGGTTGAAGGTCGTTTTCCTTCAACCCACTCAGATTATAATGGCAAAAAAAAACAAAACAGGTTAGGTCAGGTAGCAATGTGATATGCAGTATTTGAAAAGGCCTCATTTCTGGAAAGCTCTCTTCCCTATGGAGAGGCATCTGACAGTTTTTTCCCTGAAATCTTTTTTTTCTCTGAATTTTTTTTTACTGCTCTCCTGTTTTAATACATATTCATTTTCCAATCCAACATTTAGTTTATATTCATATTTAAACAAGACAGACTTGCAATAGTTCACCTGTATAAAAATCTTTCAGATTTTTGTATCGTAAAGGTAGGAAACTTTCCATAAAGCTATTGCTTCCCACACATATCAAACATAATTTTACATTAATGATTTAACCAACACTTTATTTAGCTACATAATTATCTATGTATAATTATATTCAGCTCTGATAATCCACGGGAAGCCATGAAGTATGAAATTCTATACTACTGGATTCAATAATAAGTTTCTCTGAGAGGTTCTTCCTTTGTATTTGCTGCCTTCTTTCAATGAAACTCAACCAGTCAGGAGATATCTCCATAATGGAAAAGGGGTTTGCTGTACATTTGCATCAAAGCAGAGTTGTGGCAGATACAGATGCAGAAATTGCTGCTATTACAGTGGTACCTCTGGTTACGAACTTCATTCGTTCCAGAGGTCTGTTCTTAAGCTGAAACCATTCTTATCCTGAGGTGCACTTTCACTAATGGGGCCTCCGGCTGCGCACACTTTCATTTAAAAATAATATATATTCACTTTAACACACCAAAAATAAAAGACAAATATCCATCAACACAAAGCAAAAAGAAAATTAATACATTGAATAGTGATCTTAAAACCTTAAAATAAAAATGGTCTTTTCCTATAGACCAGACTTTCCATCTACTCCTCAAAGATTCTTTGCCTATCATGGAGGAGTCACAGTAGATTAAAATGTGGATTGTTCATTCACCTTTGTGCAGTATCTGCAGGTACAGATAGGTGGCTTAATGCATTACTGCCATGAAATCTCCTGCCTCCCCCAACGAAAGTAGATTTGACTAATTATTTTGGTAGTTTTTGAGGTTTGACAGTAAGTAATATTGTTTTAATACTATTTCTCCAAACCAAAGATCTCACTGCAAATGGGTATTAGTCCAACTCAACAAAATTGCTACAAAACAACTTCAACTAAGGACATAGCAATGACCTGGTCATTTCAGCAAATAACACTTCCTGATGCTAGATTAATAGCTCCAAAAAGTACAGGAGCACTATCATTCCCCATACTAGATCTGAAGACTGAATAGGGGGAAGTCATTACCTTAATTGCCCTGCTTATGATCACCAGAGACATGTGGTTGTCCGTAAAAAATGGAAAACTGGACTAGATGGGCCTTGGAGTTTGATCAAGCAAAATAGGTTCTTTCCACATGCTATATGGCAACAAACCCAGGCTTGTTACCAAGTGTGAACTCAACAACAGGATGCAGTCAGCCTCGCTCTCTTAAATCCAACATCTCTATATGATACACAAGTTTCCAAAGATAGAAATGTTTCATTCACATAATAAGCCTTTATGTTCTTAATATTTGCACAAAAATGTTCCATTCTATTCCCAATAAAAGATCTCTTCCCATTTGTAAATAATTCCCTTCTTATGTATGAATTTTTGCATTTGGACACCTAAACATTCATATACTCATTGGATACTCACTCTTTGGTTAGAAGAGAGCATGACTTGAGTAGAAAGCGGGACAAAGGAGTGTCTTGGTATATGAGATCTGGAGGGGCAGTTGGGCTCTTCAGATTCAAGCAGCGGACAATAATGTAAAGAACAGCAGCAACAGCAGCCAACTTCACCCCATCGAATACTGCCGGCAGCTCAGGGGTTTCCATTAAGGAATTCATCTTGAAATCTATGAAAGAAAAATAAAGCTCAGAAATCTATTTTCAGCAACTGAGACATGCTTACAAAGCGGTGCCATGGAACAGTGTTGTTAGAAATGCTTTCATGTATAATAAACATTCATAAAAAGCCCAGATCAGGGCAGGCTCACACAGAACAGATTATCCAGTTTAGCTTAAGAGCTATGTGTACATACACAATAAATCTCTAGACTCTACACCAGAACATTTTGACAAAGCAGAGATTTCTGTTCTTGGTTGACAATCCTTATCTTGATTTTTATCTCTATATTACCAATTAAAGATTAGACACTCCAAAGAACAACTGCATGACAGAACTATCAGTCAGCTGCTTTGACAGTGTCTAGAATTCTGTAGACAGTGTCTAGAATTAGGATATTTATTCCAACCCCCCCCCCATGCTGTCTAAATGTTGTTTGATGACTCTACCAGTATTGATAAAGCTCCTATCCAAGCAAAGGATAAAAACAAAATCAGCTAACTGAAACAAGATACAAGAATTGCAAGAGAAGTTACACAAAGATGCTGAATCATGGAGGAGTAGAAGCAAATGCACCCATGCAGGAGATGACTTGTGCAACTGTCAATGGCAAGGAGTGTCTATTGTCAGCACCAGCTGGCTTGCCAGCTACAGCCATTCCTTGACAAACTTGCCACATAAACATGGTTGGATAACCTTGAATTTCTATCCCATTCTACCTACCTTAAGAGACCAAGGAAGAGTACAGATAAGCAAAGAATACAAACAAATTGCAACCTTAAAAACACAATACAGAATATCCATAAAGCAATTTAAAAAACAGAACACAAAATAATATCAGTAATACAATTTAAGACACAGAACTCACAAGTACAACAGAAAAGGTATTCATTGGCCCCATTCTTTCCTGGATAAACAAGTGGGGCCCTGAGGAACAGTGTAATAATTATGATCTAAGGGACAATCACAACCCTACCACGAAGGAGTTCTGCTATGAGGCTGCAGCCACAGAGATGTACCTATCCTATATCACCAGCAAAAAGGCCATGTCCACTGATGGGACCACAAGTGGGGGCTACCCTCTAGATCTAAGGCTTATGTAAGTGCTGAGGTTATGTGGCCAATTACATGGCTTGCTGGACTAGTAAAAATTGCATTGTAATTTTTATCCAACAATCTGATGACATGTTATGGTAATGGTTAACGTCACTGCAATAGCCCACTCTGTTTTATGTTGCTTTTTATGTTGTATCCCACCCTGGGATCATTATGATGAATGGTGGGCTTGTAAAATGAATATAATATTAGTGAAAAACGCAACCATCTGTTATTACTAAGCTCAATTTGTTACTGCAGTTTCTCTCGTTGAAGCTTTTCAGAGTTTCCCCAGAACTAACAAGCTACAAAAGTCCACGTGAACATGGCAATGAGTAAGGCTGCTTGTCCTTGAGCTCTGTGGGCTGTTTTAATTTGTTATTTTGAATAGTTTTAAAGTCAGTTGGCTCAGCCACTAATGTTAATTGCAATATACAGGCAAGGAGCATATCTGTTTTTACTTTTACGTGGGCTTAAAAGCAATATATTTTAATTGGAGGACAGGCACTGGGAGAGTAGCATTTAGCATTCAACTGATAAGGAATGCTTTTTAAAAGCTCACTGTGACGAAGGAGACTCTGCAGTTTTAACACAGTTACCACAAATACACAGATCCGTAGTGCTTTAGATAAATTGTCTGGAACTCCTTTGTCAGGTTTAGTCCACAAATCCATGCTTGACTATTGTGAATCAAGGGAGGCAGAAGTAATTGCAAAGCAAGATGAAATTAATTGGTCTTATATGGACTACCTGGTTCTTCATATGGCAAGAGTACAAGAAATGGGGCTGAAGATGCCTTATCTCAAGTAAGAGTATTTGCTACACCTCTATTGAAAGCTTAACTAACTGGTCAGCTGATCTGGACTTGTTAGGAGCCAATACATATGCTCCCGGGCAACCTAAGCTTCCTCCATATAATAAAACCTCAACAACAATTTTGGCACGATAGACTCGGCCACAACTGAGACTAGCAGAAAAAGCGTTGCTAGATTACATACCAAAATAGCGGCACTCTGTTTAGCAATAATTTGCAGGATGTTGAGAGTAGTCCTTGACAACTCTCAAATAATGCATTCAAGCACATAAAACCCACCTTGTGCTGTGTGCCACTTATTCTTCAATGCAGGAAACTCGGGAATCATCTAAGCAAATATGTTGTTCAAATCAAGGTTAACCTGTAAAATAAGAGACATACTGAATGTTATTTTACTGGCAATAACAACACAGCAAAAGTCACAACAGGCTCAGAGCACAACCCATCTAGAACACAAGAGGATAGCTGTCATAGGTCCACTTCATGCAAGCCAGCTACCCAGGGGCCACCTGAAGTTGAAGAGAGCTAATCATGTGCAGTAGCTCACCATATGAATCTGTGAATATGATTTGCCTCCATGTTTTGGCAAAACCATATTGCAAAGACAACAGCATGGCAACAGATATAATCTATACATAGATTTATATATACATATAATCTATGTAACAATATGTTACATCTATGTAACAGATTTATATATACATATAATCTATGTAACAGTAGTAGATTCCCATTTTATACAACAAGAAGCCAATAAAAGCTGGCATAATCAGCAATACTGGTGCCACGAGATATAGTCCTGTATAATATTTATGCTACATAGGAGAACAAGGTTGTACATCTGCCTGAGTCAAAATTAAGCTGACAATAAAAACTTTTGTACCTATAAACTATAAAAAGTTGTTCAACCTGAATTCCTCTAACATTAGCAAAACTTGTATTGTTCAATATCAGCTGCCCCAACACATATCTGGCAGCAGCAATGTTTTACCTGAAGAAAACTCAAAGAAAGTCTACATTGAAGTTAAGTCAACGCTAATGCAAAACTGTGCAAAATATGCGCTGGATGAAAGATGGTTGAAGTGATGGCTGTTACAATGGATAAAACCTTTGGTGTGTGTAATCACAGGAACTGAGGCAATACTATAGAACAGGCTTCCTTAAACTCGGCCCTCCAGATGTTTTTGGCCTACAACTCCCATGATCCCTAGCTAGCAGGATCAGGGGTAATGGGAATTGTAGTCTCAAAACATCTGGAGGGCCGAGTTTGAAGAAGCCTGCCGTAGAAGAGTATAAAAGCAGAAACAGATAGATAATATAATGCTTTGTAGAATATCCCTATGAAGGAAAGATTGGAGGGTGGGACTGATAAGAGATAAGTTCAAATGCAACACCCTGTGCTAGCAATTAAATACTCTAGAAGAAACTAAGCCAGCCTAAAGCAAAGGAAGTTAGTAATAACTCAAACTCCAATCAAGCTCTTGACATTAAAGGGAATGTTTGCAGAAGTAGAGCATACACCCTTGCCGCACCCAGGGAACAGAGAGGAAGGAATATGGCTGTAGTGTCATTCACCTCTTTAATAAGCTAAATAATTCAAAATTCAAAACTGGAATATGTTCTATATCCTTCAAAGGTATAAATGGCAGAGCCTATTATCAAATGTACTGAGAGTACTTCCAATGGGCACTGATACAGTACTAAAAATAAATTGGAGTCTACTTACCTGACAAAGCAGAGAAGTCCACAAGTATCAAATGCATGCCTTTCATTCCCTATGTTTACTGCCCAAACAACTAAACTGGCAAAGAAGGCCAAGTGCTAATAAGGACATTAAGTTCAGAATGGGTGCTGCCCCTCCAAGACGAGCTAACAGTGGTGAATTCACAAGTGTGCATTATTTAGGACTGGGAAGGACAAGCTATCAACAGCCACTAGCCATGATGGCTATGTGCTACCTTCAATATTAGAGGTTGCTGGTGAGCACAAGTAGGGAGAGTGCTAATTGTGGGTTTTCCATAGCCATCTGGTTGGCCACTATGGGAACAGAATGCTGAATCAGATGAGCTTTTGGTCTGCTCCACCAAGGGTTTTATGCTCTTAGGAGAGCAAACTCCAAGACACGAGAGCTGGATGAACATTGAGTCTTTAACAAGGAAGCATTCTAGTAATTAGACAGCAGGAATCCAGGAGCTGTAGCTTCAAGTCTGACTGCTCGGTAGAAATTGGGAAGCAAAAGGCAGTGTGTGTTAAACCAGCCCTCCCCAACCTGGTGCCCTCTAACTTGAAACTGATGTGAGGTGTTCTAAACATCAGGAGGGCACCAATTTGGAATAGGCTAATGTCCATGAGAGGACGCGGGTGGCGCTGTGGGTAAAAGCCTCAGCGCCTAGGGCTTGCCGATCGAAAGGTCGGCGGTTCGAATCCCCGCGGCGGGGTGCACTCCCGCTGCTCGGTCCCAGCGCCTGCCAACCTAGCAGTTCGAAAGCACCCTCAGGTGCAAGTAGATAAATAGGGACCGCTTACCAGCGGGAAGGTAAACGGCGTTCCGTGTGCTGCGCTGGCTCGCCAGATGCAGCTTTGTCACGCTGGCCACGTGACCCGGAAGTGTCTGCGGACAGCGCTGGCCCCCGGCCTCTTGAGTGAGATGGGCGCACAACCCCAGAGTCTGTCAAGACTGGCCCGTACAGGCAGGGGTACCTTTACCTTTAATGTCCATGAGCATTAATTATCACCAGTTTGGTTGTCTGTAATGTAGCTTAAGTTACCTTTGACAGATTCCTCTTTAGTCTGCTCCTAGGATGTTTAAAAGGAGAGGTTGCTGGGCATAGTGACATCTCATTCACTCTGGGGGTTTCTGTATTCCCCCATTGTGATGCTTTCCAATAGCAATGCATTTTACATTGAGGAGGGTAAGTGAGAAAGGGCTCTTGTGAGTCCTCAAAGGGGAGAACCTTTGTGAAAGGTTTCAGGTGCCAAAGCACCCAAGATCTTTGAAAAAGATTAGTGCCTTTGAGGCTTCACAAGAGCTCTTTCTCTATTATTCTCCATATGACCAATTCATTACCTAATGTCATAGCCAACGCTACTAGGAAGCACCACAATGGGAAAGTCAGAATCCCCCAGTGAGCTGTTGCTACATCCAGACTCTTCTTTAAACATTCTAAGAACAGACAAAGAGAGGAAGCAGTTACCAGTAACAAAGCTGTGTCAGAAGCATGGGAGGGGGAATTTTAGGGCCAGTCTATAATACAGTATACCCAAATCACAACTGTGCTCATTTAGAGAAAAGGTGGAAGGGGACAGGAGAAAGGAAGGAAGAGGAGTGGAAATCAAATAATCTAAAAAAGACCTTTAGCACTCTCTTCTATTTGTTAATCTAGTTCCTCCAAGAAGACAGCAGTACTTACAACCAGCTCAACATTTTCTCCTTACCCAATGCCCTTTTTAAAAGCTAACAAAAGGAAGGGAAAGACTGTTCCAAGAATCGGAATTTGAGCTCACAGCTGTTCTTTCAACATTTATAAGAGCTACTTCTTACAATTCAGGGTGGAACACTCTTAGTTCATATGCCATCCCCACTCGTCTCCGCCAAAGGTACCAGGGTTCAGAAACGCAGTTGCTCGGGGCATAGTCCATGTGTGTTTGCGTAAACTGTCAGGTATCAGAAAAGTAAATAATTTTCTCCATCAGGAAAATAGGATATGAAGGGGATTTTATTCAACATTTTTTCATTATCAAGAGGAAAAAGATTATTAACATATGGACTTTGTATTTTCAAGGTGTGCAAGTGACCCAGTATGAGGGACAGAGTTTCAGATTTGAAACATCTGAGGTCACTGCTCACTAATATTGCACAAGATCACTATCTAAGTTCAGATCTCCATCTGTATAAATTGGAATTAGCATAGTCTCTAGCTGGGTTTTTGATAAAGAAGCAATGTGCAAAGTATTTTATTCTCAAGGTGCTATAAAGGTAAAACAAAGGTATGATAAAGGTGTGCTATTTTGGACTGGATGGATGAAGCATTTAATGTACAGTCAAAAGCAAAAATAGAGATCACCAGTTACTGATGTTAATGAAAGCATTTATATGCCAAAGCACTACAGAAATTCTACAACCTAATATCCAAGGTTTGGAAATCTGCAACCTATTTCAAAAAGATGTGCATTTCACTTTGAAAGTTACTGAAGACATGCAAAGACTAATCCACTACAAGTTTGAATTCCACATACATTTCTATCTTTAACTAGTGCTTACATTATTCAGTTCATGATTCTACACCTCAGAGAATACAATGAGGGTCAAATTAAATGCAGTTTGTGGAAGATCTGTTATTAAGATCTCTCACTTCTCATTCTTTTAAACTCCATATAAGCAATCAGCAGCTTCATAGTCAGCATTGGCTCTCAATTTTGGGAGACTCTTAGGTAATATGTCCTCAGGAAGCCCATCTGCTTGCAGCGTTCACCACTGCCTATTTGCTTGTGCTATGAATGACCCTATCTAGTAAGTAAAGCATCCTGTTTTTCTGCGTGGCCAAGCAGCTGCATTTGAGACACCCACAAAGCAGAACACGATGGCAATAGCATTATATTCCCCAGCAACTAGGGACATGCTATCTCTAATCCTGGATGTGTGCCATAATCACCGATAGCCTTATCCTCCATAAATTTGTCTAATACCCTTTTAAAGCCATCTAAGTTGATGGCCATCACCACATCTTGCAAAAGCCATAGTTTAATGATGCGCAAGGATGAAGCGGGTGGCACTGTGCTCTAAACCACAGAGCCTAGGGCTTGCCGATCAGAAGGTTGGCAGTTCGAATCCCCACAACAGGGTGAGTTCCCGTTCCTCAGTCCCTGCTCCTGCCCACCTAGCAATTTGAAAGCACGTCAAAGTGCAAGTAGATAAATAGGTACTGCTCCAGCGGGAAAGGTAAACGGCGTTTCCGTGCGCTGCTCTGGTTCGCCAGAAGCGGCTTAGTCATGCTGGCCACATGACCTTGAAGCTGCCTGTGGACAAATGCCGGCTCCTTCGGCCTATAGAGCGAGATGAGCGGGCAACCCCCGAGTCATCCGTGACTGGACCTAATGGTCAGGGGTACCTTTACCTATGAAGTACTTCCTATTGACTGTTCTGAATCTCAAATCTTTCAACTTTATTAAAATAATCTCTATCCACTGTCTTCACAAATTTTATAAACCATTATCATGTGCTTCTCACCTGCCTTCCCTCTCCAACTAAAAACCCCAAACACTATGACCTACACATTTTTCCAATGCTGCACATGAAACTAGTATTAGAAGAGATATTCTGCTTGCCAGAAGATGGACTTCTCTACTTCAGCCCCTTCTTCGTTTTCAATTGCAGTCGCTGGAAACATTTGCTGAGCTAAACAAGCTGCTATACAATTTAACTTCCCCATTGCAGTTCTGAATACTGGTTTGATGATGAGAAAAATTTATTCTATATACATTTTCAGGCCTACAGAATGTTCTCAAAAGAAAGTGAACTTTGGAATATAATCATTCATTGCTGAACTGTTACATAATTCTGACAAGTACGTGATCTGCATTTTTTTAGTGCTAAATGACAGGAAGTTCCAAATGTCCTACTGTATAATTAAACTGTAAATATTATTAGTCACAAGGCCAAACAGGTCACCAACAGTGATGCTAAATAGTTCTCATTTATTTTTTACATGCCAGTTATCAGCATGAGTTTATTTGCAACTAATTTTAAGCCACACAAATATTTTTTTAAAAAAAGACAAAAATACCCTGCTTCTCCTATGTAAGAGCTCTGGTAATCTCTACTGCACAACCCAAAGTTTCCACTCCAAGATCTTCAAAATTATTTCTTCTATGAAATGTCATAGTAATTTAAGATTACACAGTATTCAGGATGAGAAGAAAACTTTGAAAGAATGCTATAAACCAAGCTGAAAAATAAGCATTAATTCATAGCCAGCCAGCACCTTCAAAGTATAATAATAAGCAATTTCACATTTAGCGCCTTTCCCAACAAAGGGAAAGCCCTCTCTATTTCAATAATGGAATCTAACTACCAAACAAAGCCTTCATGAATCTATAATTCCACAATAAAAACTTATCTTCCAAAATAGCTCAAAACTTCCTACACAATTACTAGAATGCTTAGATGATTATTTGATTGTTTGTCTCAGCTGCCTTAAGACATGAAAGTATCTGCCCAGGAGAGTGAAGGACTTTATAAAAGCAGACTGATCCAAACTCTGTTATAATGATAATGTTATAATGGCATGACATGACACAGTTTAGAAAGAAAAGAGTACAGTAGAACATGAATTTTAAAACAAATGGAGTACTGTAATAGTATAAAATATTAAAATCAGTTAAAGCAATTTGCAATCAGAAGAATTGGGTGGGTCCCTATAAGGGAGGGACAAAGTGATATTGCGGGCAAAATATTCTCTGTGAAGAAGACATGGATCCAGTAATATGTCAGATATGCTTTTTATTATATGAGCAGTTTTGAGTGTCAGAACTCTAAGAGGAAGAGATAAACACCCATGCTGTTTGCTTAAAAAGAAGCAACACTGTTGGACTCTGTGCAAGATAACTCTCAGAAGAGGGTTTCTTTTAAGTCCAAGAAAGGTTGACTGCTTGCAGTTGCTGTCTGTAACTTGAATAATGAAAAAGCAGGAATTGTCTAAACATAACTTCTGATTTATGGAGTATGATCCTTTGACAATGTTATGGGTATTGAATGATATACTAATACTAAGAGACCAATTAAAAGGCAAGGAGAATCAATAGGCCTACTCTGAGTAAATCTTAGTTGGACCATCACCTAAATCTTTTTAGGTGATGATCCACCTAGTAGTACATTTATCAAAGTAGTAGTACATTTATCAAAGTACTACTACAGATACACAGAACATATTTCAGAACTCATACAAAACATTATAGATCTTTCTTGACAGTTTTAAATTGACTCAGATACGCAGAAAAAATATGCAAGTACATATTTAGGTATTTAGCAGATTTATATCCCATTTTTCAACCAAAGTCCCAAAACAGTTAACATCATTTATAAAATGTAACAGATAAATCAAGCAAATAGCAAGATGGCAAGGCCCAGAGTGAATATAAGCACAATAAAGCATTATCAAGAATCACAAGACACATATTCAGCAGGAGACATTTGGTCTTTATGGCCGAAGAAGTCTCAGAAGGATCAGAGAAACCAAATTTGTTGCCACTCAAAGCCAGCACCCGCTCTGGCCTTTGTCACTGCATCTCTGCATCTCACTTTTCTGTATGAGACAACTTATGAGTGCCTATACAGAACATGTATATACCACTGGGTGACAAGCCCTACCAGCTATTTGTTTTAACTGCTACATATTACAGAATACGTACAGTTGTATTTAATACCCTTAAGGGACACAATACAAGATTTACAGTACTTTTCATTTCTTCATGCAAAGCTGACAAGATTGTCATTGACAAAACAGCAACTGGGTGAAATCTAAAGTGGGATACAGAAACAGTCTATACAGTAATTCCACCACTCACTCCAAACAGAAATAATGGATCTAGAGCATGGTGAATTGCTGAAAGGCTTCAGTATAATTATCAGTTATAATCAGTATAAGTGTATAACACAAAAGAGGAAAAGTAAAAAGGGAGAGGGAAATGCCCCCTTTTAGTCTTCTTGTGCATGGATTATTTTAGAATAAGTCTTATTCTATCAGTGTAATCTCATCTATTCTATGGCTTATAACAACTTCAATTAATCAGAATAATAAAAACTCCCAGGTGACTGGAGCAACTAACTTTATAAACTGTCTTTAAATTAAGTAACCAACCTATAAAGCCTAGCTATAAGACAAGTGTGGAATAGATAAGATTCAGGAATAGGAAGACAAATGGCTATACATTACCTCACATTCCACCTGCAAAACAGTGCCCTTCCCGGCTTCTTGCTTCAGAATTTCATTGACATTTGTCATTATTCCCTCCGGCAACATATACTTGTAGAGAGGGGATAACAACTAATGTCAATGAAATTCTGAAGCACGCCTGGTGGAGCACCATTTTGCTGGCTGGATATGGGCGAACATGTATGCATTGCACAGAAGATCATAATCGCCAGTCAATATATAAAAGGAAGTCTGCCTTGGGTACAATTCAGAAACAGCAGGAAGTAGAGAATGACACTAGGAGAAACAGCGGGCTAGTTCAGTGAAATCTCCCAAAGTAGAAGCAACACATGGCTCAAAGGATAGAGGTGACTAGCACTTGGATAACCATAGTTTGGACCAGAAAGTAATAAACAAGACGACAGGAAGGGAAGCATATTTGAAAGAAAAATTAGGGAGACTAATTTTTACTCTATGGGGAAAAGATGCTGAACCTAGGCAGTAAATGTTGCTGCCCTTGCACACACAAAAATATTGGGGAATAGGAGAAAAGGAGAGAGATGTGAAAACTCACCTCAACCCCCTACCCAGTCCATAATGTAAGAAGAGGATAAACCGAGTCTAGTAATACTTCATGTTATGTTAAACCCATGCAGTAACGTGAAACAACAATGGGTATGATAGGTGGGGCGTAGCCCATGAAACCAAACCATAAAACAGACAAGAGCCTTTGTAAGAGGTGAAAGAGGAAACAGTTGGTAAAGGGCAGAACCTCAGCCATCACTATTACAGACCATTTAGGAAGAAAAAAGCAGACTCGGTTACAATTCTTGAGTTGTGGACCCTATCATTTCTCAAGAGCATTTCCATTGTGACAAAGAATAACCACATAAAATGCTGTTAAGATGAAACCACCTTCTTTTACAACTTAACCTTGGAGTAATCGTTATACCTCTTCACTACATTTGCTGGGGCACAGGCAACCCCTGTTATTCAACAGGGGGGGACCCTTGCCTCCAGGCTTTGCTTACTAAATAAACCTTTATTCTGATGGAGGGTGGGGGCTGTTTTTAAAACACACAGCCCCGATACTAAAAACTCTCCCTCTTTCCCCAGTTTTGAAGTGACGGACCTGCTGATTTTAACGTGCAGAGAGAGGGAAGCTATAGGGACGCCACTGGAGCCAGTATTTTTTTGTTTAGGCTACTTTCTACACCCCATTATTAAAGTAATACTCAAAGAGATGGAACAGTAACAAAATAATTGTGTGTGGCGGGGGGGAGGGGGTTGGAGAGGGGAGAACCCAAGAACCACCCTGCTGGATCAGGCTCCTGGCCCATCTAGCCTAGCATCCTATCCTCATAGCGACCAACCAAATGCTTGTGGAAAACCTATGAGAGAAAGAGAGCGATTGAGAGGGAGAAGCCCACATAAGATGCTACGGCTCTCTCTCTCTCTCTCTCTCTCTCTCTCTCTCTGTGTGTGTGTGTGTGTGTGTATGAAACATCTAATTACAAATGTCTTTAAAATTAAATTAAACGAACAGTTTGAGGAGGGAGGTGGTGGAGGAGAAGAAAAAACAGAAGCTGGAAAGGAGAATAGGAGAAATCAACAGCAGGAATTTAGATGGTTGTTATTGGGGGGGGGGAGAGAAGGGGCCTGCCTTTCCCTGCAGAGGGTGGTGATGATGATGGATGGGCACCCCGGGCATGGCTGGGAAAGGAGGGAGGCCTCTGGGCCAAGGTCACAAAGCCAACCCCGCCCCCCCCACGTTGTCGCCGCTTTGGGTGGCAAAATGGGGGGGTGCGAGGGGGGGGAATCGACAGAAGCCCACCAGCCGCGCTCCTCCCCACCCATCACCTGCTCCTTTACGCCACATTAGGCAGGTGCGAAGGTGCCTCGGCCTCCCGCATCTCTCCCCCCCCCCGGTCCAAGTGGAAGAAGGGCGAGGGGACTAGTAGTGCCACCACATCCACCCCTCTCATTTTTTTGGGGGGGGAGGGGGTTGTCTCTTGGTCGCCGCCCAATTTGGGAGATTTCCTCAGGCTTCCCCCCCCCCCCACATAACAGACATCCCTTCCCCCTTCTTCGTGCCCGCCGCCCCTCCCCCAGCGCACCTCACGCCGCAGCCTCACCTGCGTAGGCCCGGTCTGGGCTCTCCCGTTCTCTCCTGCCTTGACTGCGATTCCCATCGAGATACGCCGCCACACACCCGCGCCTGGTTCTAGCTCCCAGCTTACCCCTCCTCTCTCCCTTTCCTCAGCCGCCGCCTTTGTCACTCCATTGGCGCCTGCGCCTGCCACTCTCCACCTTCAGCCGGCGCCGGATTGGCTGTCGGAAGCCGGCCTTTCGTCCGAGTGGGAACGGGGAAAGAGAAGGGGGTGGGAAGAGGAGGGCCTGGAGGTTGTCAGGGCGGCGGCGCCGGCGGTAGCAGCAACGACGCCGACGCCGCCCTGCCCTCCCCCGCAGCAGTCCGGCGAAGAAGAGGAAGAGGAGGAGGATGCCCATTGGTTCCTTATGACGCAGTTGGGCGGAGACACGAAGCGCCATTGGGCCAGGAGGAGTGTCAGTCAGGGCTGGGTGGAGAAGTGACGCGTGCCTGAGCGTTGCGTCGCGCTGAGGGGAAAGAGGGAATGAGCGGGAAAGGGGCGGGATGGGTGTTGGGTTTTTTGGTTTTTTTAATTTTTACCTCAGGTGGAAGATGCTGCCTCAGTTCTTTTGCCTCAGGCTGTCTCATTCATTCATAATATTTATTCATTGCCTTCCCTTTCCAAGAGAGTAACATACATGCAAAAAATAAAAGAGCCAAAAATTTCAAAAGCTCAAAATATTGTATAGAACAGAAAGGAGCCATAGCTCAACTATAGGAGCAGGTGCTTTGCATGCAAAGGGGTGCCAGGTTTAGTTTTCAGGTGGGGCTGAGGATGCCAAGTTCAGTTTTCAGGTGGGGCTGATGCCGATCTGTGTAGACAATACTGAGCAACATGGGCCAAGGCAGCTTTCTGTGTGAAGTTGAAAACAACGGGGAAATCTGAAGAATGGGCCAATAGGAAGGCCTTCGCCTGGCTTGGAAAAGCTTGTAATGTTAGGCAAGCCATGTTTCCCCCTCAGAATGTATATCAGCCTGTGCACAACTTGTTTCCTCCCCACAGGGAAAGTGCCAACTTTCCCCAGGATTTTACAGTAAAATCAAACAAAATTCAAAAATGTTCCGTTAGTGAAAATAACATAGAAAATGCATAATATCAGCAATGTTGCTTTGTAAAGATTGTTATATTACGCAAAATTGCATACAAAAACGTGCATACTGTATTAAGAGGAATTTGCACTAAAATGCTGATGAATTTTTTTATGATTGATTTTTAAAGAATCACAAACTGATGCGGAAATGCGTGGAACTAATTCAAGATTGGGGGAAAATGGCAAACTGAGAGGAATTGAACGTGGCATATTTGCTCATCCCTAAATAGCACTCTGCAAAACTCTAGCCATTTATTGACCTTTTCTACACTGTCTGGAGAGAGGGTGGAGTTCCACAGATCCTTTTGTGATGCCCTATGATTCATCCTGCGGGTCTCTTTAAGTGCAGTCTTAGCCTCTGCACGTGGCAGCTCATGTGTTTATGAACAGGTCCCTTGTCCAATGCCATTCATTCTCCTCCTCTGTGTGCAAAGCCAGCCTGTAGGCTGCGCAGAGAGGCTGGTCCAAACAGAGTGAGCAACAGCCCCTTTCATTATTCATCCAAGTGTGCAGGCCCGTGCTGCATGCAGAAGATATGAAAGGAGGAAGGCAGCTGCTGTGCACAGACTGCCAATGAGATCGGAAAGCTGCCTTTGCAGTTCCTGTTTCAGTACAAACATTTGGCTGCGGGCTACCACAAAGAGCTGGCCCTGCCTATCTCTCCCTCCCCCCCCCCCGTGTGTCCCAAGTGAAATACTCCATGTGACAAGCCATGTCAAAAAATACAAGTGGGCATTAAAACGAAAAGTATTTTGAGAGAGACAAGGGCATGCCATGATTGTGTCATTGTCCATGTCCTGTGATTGCCTTGTCGTGTTATACATCTGCACTTACAATTCACTCACTAGGCATAACTTATTCTCATTGCAGCCATAGTGAACATAGTTAAAAAGGATGACCAGGGATGATTTCTTTTCTTTTCTTTTACAAATCTCTCCAAGGAGAGAAAGAAAGGCAGGCATGCAGCTGGTGAGAGATATATTGGTCTGACTCATGCTTCTACGCTTTAACCTCTAGATCTTCCTTTACATCAGCTATTCTTGGATGAAGAAAGAGCTGGTGCCTTTTAAAGAATGCTACAGTCGCATGCATTAGGAATTTCTATCCTAAATATTTGGGCAGCGACTGAAAATTCTTCATACTCAGCTTACCAGAAATTAGTAGTCTTGTCTTCTTTGCAGTTACACACATGCAATCCTTTTTGAGCACTAAAGAAAAGTCATGAATAACAACATTGGGGGGGGGGTGTTCTCCACCACAAACAGGAATTAGCTACAGATCTGAGTGTTTCCTATTATTGCTATCATTAATAAAGAAGGAAAGAACTGGGGGAAGAGGAGAGAAAAAGACAGCAAATACTTTTATAAAAATCCCAACTGCAGCCATTGAGGCTTTATTTATTCCCCACTAAAATGAGGTCTCTTAGATGCTTTAAAGCTGGTTGATGGTGAGCTTGCACTAATAAAATAATTGTTCATCACATTTGCATCCAGACTTCATTCCAGTGAGCTCTGTGCTAAGCATACTGTGTTCTTTTATTTGATCCTCACAGCAACCCTGCGAGGTACGGGCAGCTGAGAAACTATGATTAGCCAAAGGTCGATGAGCTTCCTCCTAAAGGGCAAAGTACACATTGTGCACAAATTTTATTTTTAGAAAAGGGGCAATTTAAAGTGGAAAGGTGGCAAAAGAGAAGGCACTATTTTTAAGTGTTTAAAGCATAACTCAGTTTCAGTGATCCACATATTTTCCTTATAAAAATACCAAATGTTACGTCTTTTAAAAATGTATTATTATAAGTGATACCTTCAATGGAACATTGCATGCTGGAGCGCTCCTGCCGGCTAGTAGTCAATGGCTACTGCATTGCATTTCCCCTTCTAGTTAGACTGTTTCACTCCAACAGTCAGTCAGCATTGTATGGACACTTAGCAAACCTAGTCCTGAGCTATTTTGGGGTTTCCCTCCCCATTAGGTGTTCTCTGTTTTTTTTGGGGGGGGTTGTATGTGCACATCTGCAAACTTGGGCTTTCCATGAGCCTGCTAATATTTCCCTCTTGTGTGTGGATGGTGACATTTTGGCACAAAAGCACTGACACTCACATTTGGACCCTGAATATAGAAAGAATGGTTTGCTTAACATTTGCCTGGCCTTCAAATTATCATGTGCATGCGATTGCTATACTAGACCTTCATAGCGACTGCCAAAGGTGGCACTTGCTGATTCAACGTGACAGCTCCTTTGTGTGTCTTGGATTCTCATGTGCTTACAGAATAATTGAGTCATATGTTCTCATTGCTGCCTCTTGATAGCAGCGGCTGCAGTCCTCCCACTTATTTCAGAATGGTCCTACTGAATTTAGTGGAAGTGCTCCAAAATGGCTTGAGGACCAAGTGTAAACATTTATTCAGTTTGGTAGATTAGTCCAAACTGCAGCTGGTAGCTGTAATAACAGCCACCAGCAAAAGCAAAAATAGACCAAAAATAATACTTATTCTAGCCTGCATATTGCATGGCTGGGGTAGAAGATATGGGGACCCTGTGCCAAACCAGACAAAGGAGTTCCCAACTCTCTTCTATAAATGACTCTCTTTTCTATTAGAATTCATACCCAGAGACAGCCCCTGCAGAGGATCCATGTGACTATTAAGCACATTACTTGGGCATACAAACTATTGTGGAAGCAGCATCTTTGGACCTGAGCTCAGGAAATCCTCTTCTGTCAGTTTGCAGCAGAAAATGACTATAGGTGGCACTGATTGACTGGCACCTGTGCAGTAATGCACTGTCACAGAAGGTGTAAAAGGAGACAGCAATTGTTGCTTTATATGTGGGGCTGCCGTCGAAGATGACTTGGAAACTTCAACAGGTCCAAAATGCGGCAGTCAGATTACTGGCTGGGGTTAGGGCTGCCATACGTCCAGACATTACCGGGATTTCAAAAGGTGGAATTGACATCCAGGGGTAATTTCTGAAAGGCAGCACTTTGTCCTGAATCTTAGACAAGTCAACTGAAAATATGGCAACCCTAGCTAGGGTTCCATTTAGAACTCATAAGTTTTAATTGCATTGGTTGACAGTTTGTTCCTGAGCCCAATTCTGAGTGCTGACATTAGTGTATAAAGCTCTAATCAACTTATGCTCCAAATGTCTTAAAACCTGCCTTCTTCCCTACAGACTCTCTTGGGTGTTAAGATCAGCAGAGGGGGCCCTCTTGGTAGTTTTACCATCCTCAGGAGAGGGCATTCTGTGTTGCAGCCCTTAAGTTGTATAATTCCTTCCCCACAGAGGCGTGTCTGGCACCACTTTGTGCAGAGAATCCTCACAACTTTCAGCACCCTTAACCCTGATACTTTAAACTAGAAATGCCAAGGATTGAATCTAAACCACATGTTCTACCACCCTGAGCTACAATCTTTCCCCATAGTCAATGTCTGAGGCAGCCCTGTTGTCCAAGTTTAAAATGGTGACTTGGTCCTAAATTATGTAAGTCTCAACAGTACTATTCTACATTAATTCTGACTATATTAGTATCTTGGGTGTTTGACATAGTTCTGTAAAAATATCCTTCCTTCACTACTGTGTTGGGTTTTTTGTGTGTGCATTTGCTGAAAGCGTAATTTATAAAAACAAGTTTGTAAGAATGTAGTCACATTTTCCAAAGGCTAGTATGTCTATCAAGGTGACTAAGTCTGAGTCACCATGGAGGAATGGAACAAAGCCATGAGGAAGAAATGGCTAAATTTAAAACATGTAGCCTGATCCCATGGTAATTTGGAACATGTAAGCCTGCTTAATGAAGTAATTGAGTATAGATATGCCTGACTCTGCCTAGAGTACTGTCATGGACTGGTTGGACAGAAAGGAATGGTGGGAGGAACCAACTGGGGAACCACCAAGGAAAGAAGGCTCAGAGCCCAGGGAGTGGTGGTGGGACAATGATGAGTGGTCTGAGGGAGAACACTGAGAAGATGAGGTGTTGAAAGCTGAAGAGGTAACAGGCTTTATTGAGCTGGGAAAGCCTGTGACAGAGAGAAGTCCAGAATCAAAAGCAGAATCTGAAGTAGGCGAGTGGGAGGAGGGACGTCAAGAGGCAGAGATGAGTTAGCCTGGTGAAGAGTCATGGGTGTATTCCACTCCTGCTGCAATAAGCTCTCTTCCCCACTGGCCTCCCAGAACGAAGAGAGGCATGAAAAGAGTGAGGGAGAGGTTGGTTTCACGCAGGCGCA